GCTCCATTTAAGGATGAGCCTTTCTCCTTAAATTGTCTTTAAGATATGCATTTAACATGATATTTATTCTCTCTAATATACATATGTTACGAATGTATGATCATATATTGTATGAATTTGAACATTTATAGATATTATATGCTTAACAACTTAGTTTCTTAAAAACGTATTTGTCACCATAAAAAGAAAAAGATTTTTAGATTAAAGAACAATTTTAAGACTAAAAAATTGTGTTTTAATGATAACAAACATAGGCATATTTGCATAGTAGAAAAAGATCAAATTCTAAAGAGGATGACACAAATCACATGATAAAACCATACAACACGATGTATATACACATGATAGCTCATTAGACTGAACATATTGTTTACCTCTTATGAATGCCTCAAATACCACATTTAATATGTTTGATATTTATATCACCCATATTCATTATATTCCTTAACAGATATAAATATTAAAAGCTTACTTGATACCTACAATATATAAAGGAACAAGATCTTGCTTTTTGTTAAAAAAAGGACAAACATATATATCAAAATATGCAAAGTCAACCAAAAGTGGTTTTCAACTAACACATGGTATTATTTCTTTCATATTGTACCTTAAAGGTGATAAGCAACATATTTTATTAGATAAGAAGTGACCATTTGATAAAACACACTTAATGCAAACATTTATTACACCAATAGACATATTGCTCTACAAGAAAGTAAGATGAAGTAAAATAAATTAATATAAAAATACCTTATGTTATTTTCTTTTTAATTCATTTGCATTTTTTTTTTGGTTCGTTCCCGGAGTATCCACCGCCGATAGCAATGACTAATCTCCTCGCTACGTTGGAGGCACCTCAAAGGGTGAGATAGTTGGCCCCAAGATTTAACGCGGCTGCATACACAAGGCAGGATTCGAATCCCTGACCTTGCTTAAGCGTGAATCAACCCCTACCGCTGAACCACACGCTTGGAGTTTCATTTGCATTTCTTTGATCTTAACTACTTATTCTAATGTCTTGCGATAAAGTATTGAGTTTTTAATAAACATTGTTCAACCCTTCTTTTAATGTTTGTCTTATTTTTTACAATATTTTTATGTTCTATTAATATATCTTAATCAAAAATTCAAATCATATTTTCTTTATCCAATCAAGATTATCTTAATATAATAAGTTAATCAATGTCGAAATATAAGTATTTATTCATGATCAATGTTGTTTTATTGAAAATGAATTAAAAATCATAATATTTGTTATAGTAAGTCGTATTTATTAAGTTTTTATACTTGTGTGTCCTATTGTCTTTATCAAACTCTGTTCTATATGTTATTCTATTCCTCTTCTTGAATTATATGTATTATTTATCTTAGTCTTATTCAAAAATATACAATTTCAAAACACTCTTGTTAAATTGGAAACCTTGTTGTTAGCTTACCCCAAAAATAATCTACACAAAAATTGAGATTATTATCCCATTAAATGAAATATATTTATTTGTTGGATCTTCATAAAAAAAAATTATTTTCAAAAATTGATTATATTATCTTTACGAAAAGTCACCTAAAAAAAATTCACAGAATTAATCTTATGTTGACAAAGATGAAAATTATTATTAAAAAAGAATAAAACTAAAAGTCTTGGCAGAGGAAGGATGTAAGTAAGATGGAAGAAAATGTGCAAAATAAAAGGAAGTGAGTGTCACAGGAAAAAAGATTTAAAATAATTTATATAAACTGGAAACTTTTTAGCTAAAAATAAAATATGAGAATATTTATAGAAAAATAATAAAATAACAAATAAAAATTTATTAGTTGAGTGCTCTGGGATTTTTATAGATACCTTCGCTTGTTTCTTGAGACGTGATTCCTTGTTTGCTTGCGTCCCACTCTTCGTCTTCGTCTAATGGTCCTATGCACTTCAAGGTTAACTTTGTTCCAAAACCGGAACGGCCCATTCTACTTGGAGAACGGCCCGTTCCAAGACCGTTCTGAAGCAACGCAGAATATATTTACATCCTTTGGAACGGCCCGTTCCACCTTTGGAACGGCCCGTTCTGGTAACCAAAAATACCCCTAAACTTTTAATAAATTTACGAAAATATCCATAATAATAATAAAAAAATTGGGATGTTACAGGACTGGCCATTAAACTAATAATTGAAATAATTTAATTAACATCAATATGTAATGTGTTATGAATAATAGAGAAAAATATAATAATAATAGTAATAATGTTTCACTCTTTTGTATTTGCTTACAAAGTTGTGGTTACAAACTCAAAGTTAGGGTTAGTTGTTGTGAGAGTTTTGTCACTCCCGAAATCCCATTGCCCTTTTGATGGCTTGATTTCGTGACTCACCATCTTTGTTCTATTTGTCGAATAAGACAAAGACGCATTGACACTCACACCTATGTTCATGCAGTGACAATAATGACTTATTGTCATTGCTCAAATTACAAAATTATAGGGTACTATTTCACTATGTAAAAAACCTTTTTTATCTTTATGATATGGTTTTTTTTTCTTCTACTCAAATGTTCAAATCTATTTACTTCGCTAATAAGTTTTTTTTTTGTTGTTGTGACATTTATCCAATCTCTTTTTAGTCATCATTTATTGTTAGTGCTAGCGATGGTTCCAACTCTTACAAAATACCAAGTATGTTATTTTAGTTTTTTTTAAGGCTTGTTGGTAAGTGTCAAATTTAACTAAATGATTTATCAATTTGTGACACTTATCTAGCAATTTATTATGAAAAGAGTAGCTAAACATTTGTAATTGTAAATAGAATCAAAAGGGTTTAGAGTGAAGTAATTTTTGAAGAGTTGATAATTTTTTGTAACTAATTTGCTCCTTGTTTTTGCAAGATAGGAAGTTGGAAGTTTTAAGGAACTCTGGAAGCAAATGGCTCAACCCTTTGAAAGGGCTGAGCATTATTAGAACAAGGGACTAAAAGGCTCAACCATTTAAAGGGTTGAACGATTTGGTCTAGTGGTGAAATTCAGTCTCGACCTCCTAGGCGCTCAACGATTCAAAAGGACTTAGCCCTTGGGTTTTTTTCAAAGTGATGGATTCTCTAAATCACTTAGCTATTTTAGAAGCGTTGAGTGGTTCCCTCTCTCTCCTCCATGCTCTGTTTTATTTCTAGCACATATATAAAGCCCAGAAAAAGAAAAGGAACAACATCGAAGAGATGGAGGAGTGGAGAGACAAAGCAAAAAGACTAAGAACAGTTAGAGACAGGGTTATGGGGATTCTTCTTCTTCTTTTATACTTCTTTATGTTTTCTAGATTGATTTCGTCCACCATGAGGAGCTGATCTCTTTTGTAGTTGGGATTGAATGTAATAATCAAACTCTTATGTATTCCTCTTAATTCATATATATCTAATGATTTGTTATTCAGTATCAGTAATTTTGATTCTATTCTTAATGTTGAGATAAATTGATCACTTATCTTTTATCTGGGATTTAGATTTCGGTTGGAAAACGTTTTTTTGAATCTAGTGGTGGATCAAATCACCTAATAGTTTCAAAAGCTAGGAATAGATTTGGAATTATTAGTTAAAAAGTTCCTAATCTTAATGTGAGGTATCCAACTTAATAAAGTAAGGAATCATTTATTAAGTTAGACACTTTAGAATTTCTAACTATCGAGGAATTGATTTAGAATGAATTTATAGAACTCAATGGTATTTGATAATAGAATCTAGACGTAAGAAGAATTAGGAATACATAAGAGTGAGATCGATGAAATTTAATCCCAATGAATTTATATATTGACATTTTTCTATTTCAAAGTGATTTGCATGATATTTAGCATTTGAATTATTTTTGTTTTATGTAAAAACTAGATGATCCAAACTACTACAAATTTTATTTCAACAAGTATCGATTAGTATAAAGGAAGTCATATTTATTTCATAAGTCCCTAAGGTTAGATAACCCTATTTCACTATACTATAGAGACTTGGTACATTTACCTCAAAATATTAACACGTGTTGTGTGGATTGAGAATTATGAATTGAATTTTGACTTGTTGTTGCTTTTGAATTGAACTAAGAATTATGTTGGCTTGTTATTGCTTTATAATCCATTTGGGAAATTATAAACTGAATGAGTAAAGTTTTTTTAATTTTGAATCTTACATTTATGAATGTTGATGAAATTTTCTATAGTATGTATGATGATTTAAATACAATAGAAGCTTCACCTAACATAAAAAGAAAGTTTATCGTTGTTACTAATCCTTCTATTACTATTATTGGTAATAAAAGCAAGAGTAGAACTATCAATGACCAAAACCAAGATACTAAAAAGGCTAAGTAAAATAAGCTTAATACCTTTGATGTATAGAATCGTTATGAAAAGATTAGTTTAATTGATGAGGTGGATAAATGCAAATGTAATGATTGTGAGAAATTATATACATATAAAGCTATTTCATGTATTAATCATTTAAATTATTAAATGTATTAGACCTCCTAAGTACCAAGATATTAGAGATCATATTTTTTAAATGTATTTTTAATTAGACTAATTTGACTTGATGGTCTGACATGAGATAGATTAGACCCAAAAATGACAGAAAAAAAAATACAAGTCAAACCAACTTAACCTAAAATAATACTTGACATGTGTATCTAACACATGCTAAGTACATAATTAGCTTAAATATATGGAGAAAAAGCTTGGCTTTTTTCAGAACTTAATTTCAGCTTTATATTAGGTAGATACAATTTTTTTTTTTTGAGAATTTAAGGTTTATCTTTAAATAAAAAGGAATTCCAATAGCACATAACTAAATGGCAATGCAAGCTTTGATAACTCTGGGCCGGGTCTCTAACAGACCCGAACTAAGAGGATTAGTACATGACTACATAGCAAAGCAAGCTTTGACGATTGTGGGCCGGGCCAAGGCCCAACCTCTAACCGACCCAAACTAAGCGGATTATTTTATTACTGAATAACGATGGAATCCAAATCCAACCCGAATTGAAGACCCGAACGAGGTTCCCAGTTCCCTTTACCACAGAGAGCGAGACAGAAAGAAATTGAAGCGAGAGTTGTTATTGTATTGTATTCGACCGAGTGAGGTAGGAGAGGAAGAGATCGGAAAGATGACGGAGGCTACGATTAGGAAGAAGCCGGGAATGGCGAGCGTGAAGGACATGCCGGTTCTCCAGGACGGTCCGCCGCCGGGCGGGTTCGCTCCGATCCGGTTCGCCCGCCGCATCCCCAACAAGGGCCCCAGCGCCGTCGCTATTTTCCTCACTGCCTTCGGCGTTTTCTCTTGGGGCATGTACCAGGTCGGCCAGGGCAACAAGATCCGAAGGTCCCTTTTCTGCTATTCTCATTTTCATTTTCTCTTCACAAATTTCATTCTCCATACAAATTCCAATCACTCCAACATGAATCCAATCCCTAATGCTTTTTATTCAGTTCTCCTCGTTGACGATCATTGATCATACTGGCAATAACAACTTTGTGCATCTCTTAATCTTTTCGTTATATTCTGTTTCATTTATTCCCTTTTTGCTTGGGATTGTGCTGCTGCTTGACCTAATTCTTAAATTATTAGGTGTGATAAGTTTTTGTATCATTTTACACTTCACATCGAACTACCTGTTGATTTGGAAATGTGTTTTTTAAATCTTTTATCTGAAGTGCTGTTTACAATTTTTGGGACTTTTGAGCTCCTGATTTGTTAATCGAATCCTGATCAGGAAATATTCCAGGGTAGAGCGACTTGTACGTTTAATTATGGTCATGAATTGTTAATTTGGAAATGTGTGTTTTTAAATTTCATATTTTAGGTGTTGTTGACAATTTTTGGGATTTGTTAATTGAGAATATGAATCATATTCATAGGCATTAAAGAACTTTGTCATGGTGATTGTATGGTTAATTATAGTGATGGGTTGTTGCTGTGGGAATTTGCTTCTTTCTCTCATTTCAAAATGGTTTTTTTGAATTAAATTTATGTTAACTAATGACCAATTTGGGTTTGTTGGCTTTCTCTATGATTTGGTTGTTTCATTGATTTCCACTTTGAATTTCCATAGCAACCTGGTTTGGTTATAAGTTGTAACTCATGCAAGTAATCTCGCAGAATAATGCTTTACTTAATCCAGTAACTAGGAAATATTCAAGGACCCATTTTTACAGAATTTTGATAGTGGAAAATGTTTTCAGCAGAAAATAGCTTCTTGAATAAAGTTATTAGGTGAATTACTTTCCCAAGAAATATTTTCAGGTGAAAACGTTGTATGCACTATGCAGGAAAAGTTAAAAAGTCTTTTTCCCTTCCTTTGATGGGCTGTGGCAGTTGACCAGGAAAATATTACATATTCTTATTAATTTTATTTCCATAGGAAACTAGATTGAATCAATTCTGAATTTGCCTTGAAAGTAGAAACAAAGAACCCTGTAGTTTCTTGCAAGTTAATTTGATAATGGAAGATTGTTCATCTGTTTTGTGCTTCTGAGAAAAAGATTTACACACAGAATAAAACATAGGTGCAATACTTTTAGCGATGGAGTGTCACTTTAGAAACGAGTGCTGACCTTGCTAACTGCTAACCTTTTTTCTGTGGGTTATCACTCCAATTTTGATTTGAAAAGTATAAAAGGATCCAAGGTACTAAACCTAGATACAGAAGAATTGGAAATCAGTGCTTATTCTTGGTTATTTACATGTCACTATGACAGTCTCAGATTTCCGTTTCTGTTCATTATTCTTCATTCATGATTGGTTTTGGGGATTGGTGGGGTGTTACATGGAAAGTAGAAATATATGTTTAAGGAAGAAGCAGACCTCTTAGGTTTCTTTTTAGTTCCCACCCAAAAATTAAAACTGAAGTTTCATAAAGTTTCATTTCCTATAGGGCCCTGAAGGAAGAAAAATATTCTGCCCGCCGGGCCATACTACCTTTGCTACAGGCTGAAGAGGATGAGAGGTATATGTGATGCTTTCAACAAATCTGTATCATCATCACACAGATAAGTGCTAACCATTTAACATCACCATTTTGTCCATTTCTTTCTCTAGATTTGTTAAGGAGTGGCATAAATATCTTGAATATGAGGCGGAGGTGATGAAGGATGTGCCTGGTTGGAAAGTTGGTGAAAGTGTCTATCACTCTGGGAGATGGGTGCCCCCATCAAGTGGTGAGTTGCGTCCTGATGTCTGGTGATGCTATTTCAACCATCAGTATCAGGAATTGGTCTGCTTCTTGCATGTTCTTTACATTGTGGTACTTTTGTCCAGTATCCTCTAAAATAAAGTTGTATCTGGAACATTTGTAATTGCTTTGCGAAATTTTAAAACTAGAATGCCTTTTGAATTTGTACTTCATGTTTGCAATCCCACCATTCTCTGATGTATATCAGTATGAATGCACATTCTTGGCATAGGAAATTGTATGCTATGCAGTATGCTGTATGCACTTCACTACTTCAGTAGTAAGCTGAGGAAAAAACAAGCCCCAAACTAAAAACTCTAATGAGGGAAGAGGCGGTGAAATGTGCAACAGTTTGTAACACCAGCATTGGTTGCTGGTGTCATAGGGAGTACTAGATCTTATAGCTTATTTCTAGAAGAATAAGGCTGAAACTTTATTGGGGTAAAGAAGGGTCAATTCCAACATTTCTCACTCCTTATTGGCCATTAAACGTTTTGGAAATTCGTTTTTGTTTCTTGCTTTTTTCCTAAGTCACTGATATGAAGTGAACATGAAATGACAGAAGATCATTTCTTAACTTGCAGCCATCTGGTTTGGTTTATACTAATTAAATATGCATATACTTTTTTTTTATTTATGTCATCTATTTATTCAAACCGTTAATTGACTAGTGCTTGGCTCTGGACACTCAAATATGCGTGATTAGAGGTTGGAGGGTGATTATTTTGAGTAATCAATCAGAAACCAAGTGAGGGAAAAAAGTTCAGTGTACATCCGGAATCGGTACACCTACCTCTATCTGGCACACGTAGTTAATTATTATATATTTATAGTTATATATAATATCGATTTTTAATTTTTGTTTTCAAATTATTTTAGACAATTTTAACCCTATGAAGAACTATACAATAATAATTAATAAAGGTTAAAAAAAAAAATTTCTTTGAATATAAGGTTATTGACATGGTTAACATGAAGTTATTAAGCATCACACATGATCACAAGATATATATATATA